CTAAATGAAGTTTTTAAAATGAACGATCACACAAGTTTACATGAGTTTATCAAAGTGAAAAACGTTCGAAGTGAAGGCGAAGAAAGAAACCGATGAACAAGTAACTTTTGAGTGATAAAGTATTCAGAATTTCAAAAAAAAAGCAAATAAACAATGACAACATTCATAAAACTGAAACGTAAGTTTGAGTTGACTCGTTCTTAACTCGTACAAATTCAGATGGGAAATCTTCAGTAAGGTATTTCTTCTGAGGTGTTAATTTGTTTAGATTTTCAAGTCTGTCTTTCAAATTCAGCACATCTAATAAGTTATCTCAATAACTGTCCATTATTAACAAAGAACCATTTCTTCTTTTATACACAATGAAGACCGTTTAATCTGATAAATTTCCTACCCTCAAAAAACTAGAGTTTAAACTATACTATCGGCGTCCGGTTATATTACGCATTCAAAGATACATGTGAAATGCATTAGTTCTAAATAATTTGATTTATATATGTATATATATATGTATAGTGAAATTATTTTGTTATCAGATGTTTTTATGAAAGAATACGTGTATTTCCTGGAGAGAGGGTGTTCAGAGACGGTAGACTGAGAATTCAGTGATAATATAAATCCTGAATTCGGCAAGATTAAACAATAGTTGAAGGTACAGGAATAGTCAGTAATTACTATCGATAATAAATCTAAAAATGTCGTTATTTATGTTGAGACACTGAGAGAATCTATTCCTGAATTTCAATTATTTAATATGAGGTCGATATTCTAGTGATTCTAGCAATTAGCATAATGATGATACGTACCATAACGCTTCAACTGATTGCTTGAGGAGTGGAAAAGAGTTTATTGGAAGCATAACCTCGCAAGACATTGCAGGTAAAAAAATTCAACATAGTCATTAAATTACTTAAAATTTAACACTCTTAATTATTAACCTCACCTAGTTTACTAGCTCGCTAGTTTTCTATTCAGTTTCAAGCATGGATAAAGAGGCAGGTTCGAGTGTGTGACTAGCGATTCCACACCACAAAACCAATCAAACTGCTACAAAAACTTCAACGCACAAGAAATACATTGAAAATACAAAAAATATTTAAAAAACTTATTCTTCGCTCGAATCACAGAGGCGAAATGACACAGCGGGCTGGTGAAAGCCAGCCTTCAGGAAGCCAGTCAGTCAGCCGATGTGTAGTCTCTCGATGAATGCAAGAATAAGAACGGGGACGTGAAACGTCCGTTCAACTTACGAGGCTGGCTGGGAGGGCTGCTTAGGTAGCTAAACATATGAGAAGATATGCCATAGAAGTACTGGGAATTTGTGAGTGAAGATGGAATGGATGTGGACTGTCAAAATTGTCAACTGGTGAGTCAGCAATCTACTCCGGTCTGCTTACTCAGACGAAAGCCACAAGCGCACTGAGACAGTGAGTGGCTGTCATGATGTCACGAGTGGCAGCCAAAACCCTAATGCAGTGGGAACCAATCTCCTCATCCAGGATCATGACAGCAACGTTAAACTCGAGAGGAAGGAAGGGAGATCACAATTATCCAATACTAAGCGCAGTGCTGCGAACAACGCGGAACAAGAGAAGACAGGAGATTTCTGTAGATAACTACAAACAGAAATGGATAACATCCCGAATGACGATATCAAAATCATTATGGGTGATATGAATGCAGCTAAACTGTGAGCATACAATGCATGAATAGAACTGATTCATCATAGGTCGAGAGTCTTTCGCTAGGAGAAATGAATGAAAACAGAAAAATCTTCAAATATTTGGTGATTGGAGGTAGCGTGTAAAATTACAATGACAGAGATGCGTTGCGCCTGACGGACACACTACAAAACAGAGAGACTTCAAATCAATGCTGCTCAAGGAAGAGGAGACACAGCTTGCTGGACACAAAGTCGAGAAGAGGAGCAGACATGGAATCAGACCACCATCTAGTTCGAGAACATTCAAGGTCGAGCTAAGCGCCTTCAGAACAACTGGAAATAGGCCACTGTAATTTAAGTTCAACATTCAGAAACTGAAGGACGCAACTGCAGAGGAGAGCTTCAATACAGAACACATTAGAACAAAGTGGGAGATACTACATGGTACCAGTCAAGAAAGCTGTGGGAAGGAACTTTGGAACTCACTGAGTGTCATGTTCAAGGAAACATGTACCATCGTTCTAGGAAGAAAGAAGAGACAAGACAAGGAATGATTCTCGATGGACACCTACCTGGAAGCTAATCGAGGAGAGGAGAGGAGACAAGGATGGTGAAAGAGAAGATGACTGAATGCAAAGATGGACAACAGAAGGAGAAGCTGACTTCAATGTACACTGCACTGAATACAGAAGTGGAGAAGAGTGCTGTGAAAGACAAAATCAACCACACAACACACTGGCCAGCATCCGAAGCAGAACATGAATACAGCCAGGCAGACAGGCAGGCATCAGGTGGGCGAAACTGATCTCAGAACATTATATCAGAGAACCAGTTCTCTACCCGGGAAAAGAACAACTCGGAGGATAAAGCCAATAACAGATGCTCAAGGGAACCTGATTACCAAAGAGAAGAAACAGATTAAACAATGGGCTGATCACTTCGAAGCCCCTTGAGTCGACCATCACCTGCAACTCGCTCAGAAATACACCAACACCAACAGCACACGCACACCTTCCTGCCAGGGAACACCAATCCTCCAACGAAAGCAGAAGTCTTGAGTGCGACCAAGCTACTGAAAGCCAGCAGGGAAGGCAGCAGCATCGAACGGAATTCCCTTCGAATCACTGAAAACCGACTCGGCAGAGACTGTGGAAGATGTGTTCACGCCATAACTGCAAGAGCCTTTGAAACAAGGAAAGCCTGACTAACTTGTCAAGCTACCAAAGAAGGGCGACTTACGCTTCTGCAAGAATTGACTGGCGTAGAGTAGTGCTCTTGTCCACGCTGAGTAAAATAGTATTTCACGCCATCGTGGAAGGAATAAAATATGCACTGCATGCAGAACTCCACCCCACCGGAACAAGCTGGCTGGATTCAGGAAAGACAAATCATCTGCTGATCAAATAACAGCTCAACGCATTATCATCGTCATCATCGAACAAAGCATGGAATGGCAGTCAAACCTCTCTCTGCCTCAATTTCATCCACTTCGAAAACGCCTTCAACAGACAGCGTTGACCAAGAAGTGATTTGGAAACTGCTTCAACATTACAGCTTTCAGTGCCCAAGTCTTTATCAACATCATTCAACACCTGGCTATATGAAAATGCAACACGTCAATCAGGTGATCCACAACGGAAAACTCAGTAAGGCGCTCGAAGTGCACACAGGAGTAAGACAAACTATCTGTCTGATATCACCGATGACATTCTTAGCTGTGTTGGACTGACTGGATTTGCGTCAGACTGTGAGTGGGAAGTGGGGAGACAGGGGTACGCTCGATCACCAAAAATAGGACTCTAGAAGATCTGGACTTCACGTGTGGATGATTTATGTTTGATATCACACAAACTCGTAGACTTGCAGGCGAGAAGCAACAAACTGGCCGAAGAGGCTGGTGGCGAATACAGGACTCTAGGTGAATGTAAAGAAGGTGGGAACGGAGGTGATGAAGGTAAGCAATCACCACCAACAATGGCAACAGCACCAGTCACCAGCAACGAGAGGAATTCGACAGAAATTATTTCCTTCACTTATCCATCCAGGAAGTGCGTGTCAACTACAGTCACTCGGAACAGATGAAGATGTCAAAGTCAGTAAGGATCAGGAAGGCAAGATACGCCTTCTTCAATCTGAAACCAGTTTGGAAATCTTCTGCACAACCCCTCAGCAAGGAGAACAAGATCCGGATTCTCAAAACAAATGTGAAGTCAGTCAGTCCTTGTATACAGGTCAGAAACTTGCGAAGTGTTTCACGAACATGATTTGCAACAGGCCACTGCAGACTTTTATCAACGCATGCCTCCTTCGCTGGCTCCATACTGAAGATCAGACCGTCGCTCGAGTAGAATCCGAATGGAAAGCGTCGAGTGGTGACATGGAGGAGGTCGTGTGGCGAAGAAGAGGAAGTGAGAGATTATGGTGAATCGTGAAGCCAGGTGAAGAGGACAGCAGAGAATAGAAGAAAGTGAAGATGTGTTGTTGAAGCCCTATGTTGCACTTGGAACTCAAGGGAATAATAGTATAATTCTTGTTGAATTCAGAATTTATATTAGGTCATTCAATAACTGCAGTGGATTGGAGTGAAGTAAATTAGAGATTATTGATAGAAGAATATTCTTTCCAGTGGTTTCCTCTTCAAGTTTTGTAATTGTGTACTCACATTTGTTTTTAGAATTTATTCGTCATCCTGCATAATGAATAGCTTCAAGCACAGGTTAAACAAGAGTATAACAGAGACTATAATTAACTCTATGTTAAGTCATCTAGTCCACAGGGCTAACCTGGACTAATCGTCCTTCATCATTTACCATGTTCCTACGAACTTCGAAAAAAACAGCTAGACTTTTATTTCTGTATACAATAAAATGTTTAGCATTTCGAATGAAAAATTCAAAGTTATGTTTCCTAAAGAAACATGTACCCTTTGCATTGCTTCCAGTACACTCATTAGCGTTTATTAAAAAGCAAAATAAATGTTTTTGCTAATATGATTTCACACCAAACAGGATTTGATACTTGTTTTTACTCTGAAGAGAATTCCACCAATATTTGTATTTTCACATTATTTGTTTTAATGATCCAATGCTATTAACTCAGTGGGTTGAATCATGTATTTCTCTCAATTTACTCTGATAAATCATGTGAAACTATACCTTCAGACATGATGCTATCTCTTGGTGAGCTATTGTGATATACTGAAACGAATCTCATAAACACATGATTTCTCATAAATCTGTGTGAAACACATTGAAAATGGAATAGATTAGAAAAAATGCCTGATTCTGTTAAACCGCCAAAAAGTAGGCAAGGTTTGTGAGAACGAGAATTAACGTACCATCTAACGGAGATTTAAAGATAACGCCAGCATTTTCATGAAAAACAATTAATTCCTTCTTTTCCCAGTGAATAGAAAAGTTTATTTTATCCAAATTTTCTAATGCACTTTGAATATTTACAGGAACACATACTTTTGCGCTTTTGTCCACATGGTTTAAATATCTTGAAGACGACGTGTCTATACGATCCCTTAAATTTGTTTTCCATACAATACCGAGATCAAGGTGGAAGAAGACCCCAGTTTTCATTGGGATGTAAATCAATCTGGTTACCGTAAGAACAATAAATTATAAATACTTTAAATCCAAATGCATGTGAATAAATTAAATATATGTATAACTTTATGAGAACTAATCAGCTATTTATTCGTTTTTAAGAATGACTGGTGTCGAGGAATTTAAATATGGATGTGACCACAGTTTTCAAGCTCTAAGAGATCAAATAATATAAGAACCTAGACAGCATCCAATTGATATGATTACCAATCCTGTGAAAGTGACTATTATAAAATAAAAGCAGTAACGTTTAAGAGAAAATCATTTAACAAACTAAATTTCTGAATGTCTTCCGCAAGTTTTACATTAAAAATAATCCTAGTCATGAATAGTTTATTTACTTTCATCCCAAAAACCAAGGTTGCTTAAAGTTCTGTTCAAAAATTGCTACTTAATCCTTGTATCAGTTGAATGCAAGTTTTACTCTCATGCCTTCACATTACAAAAACTTTTTATTCGTTGAAATATATGAAATGAGATAAACAAGATCATTTTCTAACATCGTAAATAAATGAAAAGACTTCAAAGCTATGAGTCATAACTTAATGCCTACGCAAGCTACCATTTCTCCACACCACTGAATAGTTTTAAAATATAGTTAAAATTAAGGGTGAAAGAGGTTGATTTCCTGGGCCAAGTTAAGAATTTCAGTCATATATTAACAAAATAAGAAATCAAGCTTAAATGGTAAAACGTTCTTGATATACAAAGTAGTCCAAGCTTTGGTACGCTTATCAATAGGTTTCAAGTTCCACTCCCCAGACTACCTGGTACACATATATCCAATCGTTATAAATTTACTTGAAGCCAGCAGCTATTCACGTTTTCGGAGCTTATCAGTCACCAACTTTAAAAATAAATAACAGTTAAACAATTATTTGTATATCACTTCTGACAGTGACATTATCTACAGGTAAATGCATATCAAGTGCGAAGTTTCGTTGCAGTTCACTTTTTGATGAGATACTTCCCATCAAGAGGTATGACATAATTGTAACAGAATGGGAGATGCAGCACTATTTTGAGTCAGTTTCAACAAACGGTACCGTTTTCATTGGGTAAAATATGGTGAAATTGCTTTTATTTTGATTTGCTTCCAGTGAGAAACCAAAATGCTCGACCTAACTGTAAGACAGAATAGTTCGTCCGACAATAGATTTCAATGTTTTCATATTCCATAACTTGTCTTCAATTTCACTGATGGTTTTTAAACCAGTTTCGTTTCAACTGGTAGTAAATACCTTTTTTTAAATAAATAAACTTCTAACTTATTTTACATCTTTCTGGAAAAAGTATTCGTCCATAAACAGATGTCCAGTTTTTCTTCTTTTTCGTTATATTATATCTGCCTAATTTATTGGGCATTTGTACTTGCACTAAATGAACCTAAAATAGAAATCTCAGATCTTAAATTACATCGATCTGTTATTAACTGCGAAGTAAATAAACACGTGGCGAGATCCATTCCTCATTCAGTGCTTACCTTTTGCTTGTGAGCATTTCAGCATGTATTGTTGGAGTCTTTTTGTTATTGATAAATATATAAGTGAATAAATTTGTGTAATCGTAAACGCATAAAGCTTCCTGATTGTCTGTAAATGTTTCCACCTCAGCATCAGAGTCATTCTTGAGCTCAAACCGATGCTCGACTGCATACTGACCTAACTGACAAATGTGTAGCCACAAATCAACGTCAGTCAGATGGTGCGATGAACATTCAACTGTGTAAATACTTCCATAATAGCACCAATCAAGTGAAAACATGACTTGTCTGAAAGTATCATCTAGTAAAGACATCAGTATCTGTAAAAGTACATGAAAATAGTAAAATAAATAAAATGATAATTATTTATTTTACGAGTTATTTTCCACTAGTCTTCAAAATTATCTGAAAATAACTGGAAATCTAATGGGAGAGTACTGTGCCTTTACATTTCCCTGCTAAATTCGACACCGGCTTTGAATTTCATCTGATAGAACTGAAGAAACTTATCATTCTTTTTAAAAGTAAGGGGTCCGCACTACAGTTGGCAATACATATTATATTGATTGTTGCAATTCTTTACAAGGGAAGACTGCTAACAGGCATGAAGAGTTCATCCTGTTAATTGAACTGGTTCAGATTACTTACAGTTTCAGTGTTCTTTGACTGGATTATGAAAATGATAAATTGGATAAACCTTTTCTATAATTAAGAAACCAGTCCCACTTGTGTACAGTTTGACCTTCAAATCCGAGAATATTCCTCTACATTTTGTCACGATTCTGTTGTTCTAATTTCCTATGTGATTTGGTTGTCACGATCGAGTTATGTTTTTATAATATTCATTCAGAGTGAAGCTTCTCTTCATTTTCAAATCTGATCACTTATTTTATTATTATTATATGCGATCCCAGAAAACCCTAAGGAATGAATTTACCTTAGTTTTGTAAAAGCTGTTCTCATCGAATTATTCAAATGTAGTATACAGTCATATCTGTAAGCTGCATATTGTTCATCTTGATAACATAATCAACTTCGTATATTGAATGTCATCTGTAGAAGAAATCTAAGTATTCTGTTTATTAGCGGTTAAACAATCTTAATTCTACTTATTTTTTTCCTTTTATTTCTCATACTTGAAAGCTTTGGTTGCTAATTTATATACACTGTGAATGCCCAAAGATGGATGAAATCGAAGTTTCATCCAAAATAATGTAGAATACTTTTTAGCATTTGTATATCGTAATTTATAGGGGGTAGACTTATTCGTCTAGATTATAGTTATAAATTATTCATAATTACACTGAATGTTTACTCGGACACAACTATTTTTCTTCATACTAATTCAATTCCCAATGACAAATCGCATCAGAGTAAAATCTACGCACACGCCAGGCACTCTTTGATTTCTTCGCGATCATGTGAGTCATTTTGCCCCTGTTGCCTAATATTCCATGATTTGTCTGCGCAAACATTTATTTTTGAATCTGCATTCATGTTTTGTTGAATGTGTGAGGAAGTTCCAGAATAATTTCCAGTGTAAGGTCAAATTAATAAAATTACTAAGCGTAATAAGCAGAAATAGGTAGTGATTCTATTCTACAAATAGCTTAGGTCAAAGGTCAAATTAAAAGTACAATGTGTATTAATCTGGAATGTCGAGTAGGAAAGACACAATAAGTTATAATTACTCAGAAGTGGCTTTACAAGTGAGAATAAATTACGTAGTACTCAACGGCACGAAGGAAGAAAGGGTTAGAAATTCGATAAGGTAAAGGTAGTTGTGTGTCAATTTAACAAGTGTGAAAATGTTCAAAAGGAACATATGAGGGCGACAATAGTGAATTAATTATTAAAGTAAACTAAAAAGTGAAATTGAAAATTATTAACAATTAAAATTAATTTAGAAAATGTTTTTCCTACATGGAATGACCATTGAAGAGGCTAAGACCAGATTGAAGTGGCCCAAAGCTGCAGTTTATTCTTAACACATTCATTGATCATTTGTTGGCTGTACATTATCCAGCATGGTTAGCAAAAGGACAATGCAAGGCAGTTACTAGATCAATCCTCGAGCACTTAGTGAACTCAAGCCACATAGTTCCACCAGAGTTATCTTTCGAGATCCACAGCAAGGTGAGGCCCAATGGTACACAGGGCGTTAGGTTTCGGCTTTTGTGTATGGCGGAGGCACTGGTAATTCGTCAATACACTCTTGATCTCTGTATACAAAATGTTTGTCCAGTCTCTTATTCTACCATGATCTTAACCTCTTCACTGGTCGTTCCATGTAGAAAAAAACATTTTTTAAATTAGTTTCAATTGTTAATAATTTTCTATTCTTATTAATTTTTATTGATTTTCAATTTCACTTTTTAGTTTACTTTAATAATTAATTCACTATTGTCGCCCTCATATGTTCCTTTTGAACATTTTCACACTTGTTAAATTGACACACAACTACCTTTACCTTATCGAATTTCTAACCCTTTCTTCCTTCGTGCCGTTGAGTACTACGTAATTTATTCTCACTTGTAAAGCCACTTCTGAGTAATTATAACTTATTGTGTCTTTCCTACTCGACATTCCAGATTAATACACATTGTACTTTTAATTTGACCTTTGACCTAAGCTATTTGTAGAATAGAATCACTACCTATTTCTGCTTATTACGCTTAGTAATTTATGTTATGCTTCTAGGTTTCTAGTACAGGCACGAGGGACTTATAAAAACATTGTCTAAAAAATTTTCATTAGATTTATTCACTTCAGAGATAGGTATTTGTTTGACTGTCCTTTAATTTTCAAAAATAAGAAAATTTCCCGGAACTACATTCTCGAATAAGATGATTCTATGTGGGTATAATTTCTCCAAAACTACCATTCAATTTGGAATATGCTGCATTCAGTTTTGCGACCCTTCATTACAGATACTCAATAAAGTTAAAATACAAGGCACAGAGTTGCTGTATTAATTTCCTACTGTCGCATTCATTTGCACCACAATGAAACTGTCTTTCTGTAGATACTACTGATCGCTCAATCAGGGGTATGTATCATCATACTTTTATGCTTGCTTTTTCGATCACCAATCATAGTATCATATGGATCACATATTGTGATCTGAACAATTTTGGTTTCCTAAGGAAACTATGGTGAGACTTCACCTCAATGTAATTCGCAAATCAAGAAAGTGTCTTTCTAAACTATTCTTGTCGTTTGGAAAAATTTTTATCATTGCCTGTTTAAATATAGAACACAAATTCTTTCCTGATTCAATGGAAAATTTAGTCTTGTCATGTATTTCCAACTAGGTACCTGCACACACAACTGGTACAAAGTATTCTCCAGACTTTTTCCCTCTTAATGATCAGTGAAACTTTGTTAGTTGAACTACCATTTATTTGTTGCTGTCTGTCCGAATCACCCTAAACCACTGGTTAACAGGATATAATATTCACTGACTCCATGATTTTTAGGTGTTGTCTTGAATTGTTTCTAGAAATGTCTCACAGATTACACCACAGTGGTCGTAGGAACTACTTATTGTATAACACCATGTGTACAACACGCTTATGAATGTATCAACTCAATCTCTTCAGAAAGGAATACTGCAATTTTGTCAGTCATTTGCGTTAAGTTAGTGCTTAAATGTACCAGATGTGTTGATCTGTTAGTTTTCTTAAAAATTTGTAATATTATGAATAAGTTTCTACAAACATCCAAATCCAAAACTCCTCTCCTTTCATTTAGACTAAATATGATAAAAATGTTTTACAGCTATTTGGTTTATATCTCTAGAGAAGTATAGCTTTGTACCGATAGTGGAGATTTCAGTCTTTTTCTTAACTAATATATATAAAACAGAAGTGTTTAGACCTTAGTGACATACTGAATAATTTAACAGTACTTGAAAACAATTAAAAAAATGAAACTGGGTGCGTTTTTGTTATACCAAGAGACTTTTGATTGATTCAGCCATGCGCAGATTTTTGACACAAGTAAAATCTAAAGCATAAATAGACATTTCCACCTTCTTGAATGACAGTTAAACTGAAAAATAATAATTTTTATATACTTTAGCATCACTGCGTAATTCTGAAAGTTTCTAAGTACTTATTTGTCTAACAACACTTGAAGTATCCTTATCACTAGCCAAGGGATAGGTTGATGTGGAACTTCTGAAATTAATAGCATAAATAGTGCTGTACATCGCTAAACTGGACTAGTTAAGTGTCTGTGGGTAATAAACTCTGCCTCTGCTTATATTTCAAGTTGATGAAAGACAGCTATCTAGACATACCTTGGTCATTTGTAAGGCCCATATTGCATCGGCGATTACAACTTACACCACACAGTTGGGATATCAAAGACTTGTCTACAAAGCTCATCAGGTGAAGATTCAACAATGTCTCAGTAAAACCATAGGAGCACATATTCAGAAATATACTGGAAAATGTCATGCATTCTCAAGTAATGGTTAGTATGGAATGACTGATCACTTAACTGAGCCATAAAGTTTGCAGCAGGCTGATGACACTTAAGTAGAATAACATCATACACATACACTATGCAGAAGTATAGTGAATATAGCTGAGACCAGGAAGACATGTTCCGCTTTCTTGTCTTAATTGATTTTTACGTTGTTCTATGACTACTTTTCCTCCGAATACTATTATGTTTCTGTTTTTACATCAGCGGATCTAACTCATTCTTAAACCTTAATGTTTACAACTAGGATTACGTGATATCTCTTTAACAAATCTTACTTTTGTTCTCCATGAGTTCCAAGATTCGTTCTTTCACCACTGACATCAGAAAGTCATTCCTACCGTAAACTTCACATTACCAAGGAAAAAAACCGTACGTTTTTAATATATTTGTTTGATATTAAGAAGTGAACTTTACTATTTTGGCTTGTAACACCTCAGAGATGTTCTTGCAGTCGAATAAAGCTTTTCATTTCTAAATACCCCTGCTGCCTAATTCTGTTCAAATTCAAGTTTCCCTATTTAAATGGATACTTTTCATTGCTACCTGATAAATACTGTCATGTGCACATGCATAAGGATAAGCGAATGCCTAAATCTCAGCAACTGAAAAATCTTACTAATTATTAGGATTTGGTATTTGAAAAATGTGAAAAATGCGTTGTTTACTAGTAATGCCTTGATAATCACCTTACTGTTCAGTCAGCCTTATTGTTACTCCCACTGCCACTACTAATACTGATAGTAATACTATTATTAATAATGTATTTTCTGTTATTTGTACTACTGCTTAAGTGTTTAGTGAATATTTATTATAAATGCTTCAATATTATCGTGCCATTATGCCTGCTCCATCTCTTACAGTGTGTATAATGTGTATCTACATGATATATTTGTTCATCTATTGATGCACGTAATAAGATAGCGGTAAATGGAAGTGAAATACACTCTTACCATCCCCTTATTTCATTGTAAACAGGAGAAATAATTTTTTTTCTACACCATCCTGCTTGATGAAAGGAAGTTTTTTTTTTACTTAAAAACACTTAAAGGTTGCCTATTCATTTTTGATATTTATGTACATGTATACATGTATAGACCATCTGAAGAGAATTTAAATGAAAGATTGTGGTAAAGGAATGCGAATAAGTTCATTTGCACAAAACTTAGGATTAATTTTTGTATAAGAATGTTGTAAACATTGCTTTAGACCTTATAATTATGATGATCATCTCTATATTACTTGTGAAGAATAATGTGTTGATTTAATTTGAGAGGGAGGAGGAATAAAAAGTGGACAAACAGCCTAGTCGACTGAATTAGATTAACCAAGATTTTATTATAATTTGCTGATTCTTCATTCCATAGATGAATAGTTCTATGAGAGAATGAAATTCATTTTATTCTCCAGGCTTCATTCTCTCTAATATTGAAATTATCCATAATTTAGAACATTCGTCTAAAATCTGGTATTTGGTTCAACAAATGTTGCCTATTATAAAATATGTGAGCTGATTGTATCCATGCCTAATTATTAACAGTTATGTGAAAAGTTGGAAGTGATTAGTAGATATTTTAAATTTTAGCATAATTAACTCAATTTTTCCTTAGATCATACTTTGATTTGGTTGGAAACACCGTTTTCAGCCGACTAATTGTTTCGGCACACTAACCGTAGGAAACTTCTTATGAAAAGTATGATATAACGGCAAGACGGCTTTCTCAACCCCTTAATCACAGATAACGTAGTTGAATGACAGTGAAATAGGATTACTTCTAAAGATCAGTCGCTAATGTTTCTTTTCACAGTGATGTCACCTATAACTATGTCGATAAATTTATACGCACTTGAGGTAGCAAGTACACTGGAGGGACATAAAGAAGGGATTCTCTCCGATTTTCTGAGCATTCTTCGAGAAAATGTTTGCCCAAAGGCAGGTGGATGTATGCACAAAGTGTAATTACCAGGCATATTGTGCATACAAAGCATTTTGTCTAAATCATCAATTCATTCGAATTATTGGATGTGCAAAAGACACCATATTGATTACGATTTACCAAAACGATCACAACTAAATGTTTCCAGCCAAAAAATGTATACAGAAATGGAATGTGACTAATCTCTTACTCTCTTGGTAAAACCATTTCGGATTTTGTTTGCGTTGATTGCATAATTGTCCAAATTAGTAACTTCAGCTCACCGAGCTGATTTCAATATTACACGCTGTTATTTTCTTGAGTTACTACGTAACTTTATCAGCTAACTTTTTATTTTTTCTGTTTTCTCTCTTCTCCTCCTCCTTCTTTTTCTACTTTGAATTGCATATAAATTGATTTCTTTTTATTTCCTTCACGTTCCCCAGTGGAACATAGGACTTCAAGCTAGACGCTTGAAGTTTCTGTAGCAGTGTTTATTTTACAGGATGGGGTTGCTAGCCTCATGCCCAACCTTTCCTCTTCACCAGCGTTATTTCTGGCTTAGCGAGGTAAAGGAGTGTGTCGGCCGGGGATCGAACCCCGGACCATGTGCATGGTCGGCGAGCTTCCTAACCGCTGTGTCACCGACGCTATATAAATTGATGCTGACGTGAATTTAGTAATGTGATGTCTATATTGTGGACGCCTTTACTTATGACATTTTACCTACTATTATTCCAAAATTGAGGTATGTTATTTTCATTCTTATACAAACACTGGATTTCAGGTAGCCTGACAATGATTACAGCCTGTGAAATAAAATGACCGTCATTTTACAAAACGAATTTAACTTTTCTTGTTTTATCTAAATTGATCAAGTTTGGCTTTGCAGAGGTTTGATTCGCTACAGGTTTGACCACGAGATGATACCACTTAGAGAACCCTTAGAAGACCTGGCAGTACTGGACGGCCATTTCATCTTGATTTGGGACTCCCCAGCAGTACCAGGTTGCCCTGTTTTTATCGCCAATTGGCAAAAGTTGGGATTCATCGGCTGTTGGATAGGTTCTCAGTGGCTGAATTTACCATGGTAATCAAGTGTATCAACTATCCACCATTAATGCAGTGATCTGCGTTCACTGATTATAACAACATAAATACACTAAAAAATAATTCGCCGTCACGCAGCTTCACTGAGTTTCCATCTGTTGGCTGAATTACAAGGTAGTTTATTAGTATTTTTAATGATTATGGTTTAAATTTCGGATGATTCATTACTGCATATTGCTGAAAATTTACCAGTTATCAGAAATCCTATATTCACGAGCTTTTTGTTTCCAAAAGTCTCCTGGATGATATTTACTCATGATGACATTTATCCTGCAGTCACAATTACATACTCCGCTTAAGCTTAAGTAAATAAACGGTAGTGGCACCTATGACCACATACTTCAGACAAAATGATTTACTTTTTTAAGAAAGCATTTCACACAGTCCTCTCATGCATGTCGTAAACATGAAGTTTATGTGGAGTTTAGTCTCAGTGAACATACTACTGAAGCAGTAAAAAACCACTACTACTGGTGTGTTGCTTCTCCCTACCAAATATAAGTCATTTTAAGAGAAATTAACTTACCACTTTATGGCTGTAAGCTTACACCAGGTTTCAAAGAGTCAAATTTACACTTGATAAAAATACACAATCTTTCAAATTCTAAACTCAAGGTCTAAGTGACAGGGTGTTATGTTTCACGAGTAATAATGGGATTAACTGGCAATAAAATTTTCTGTGCTCACATTTTGAATAAAATTACCCGAATTGGTTTTTAGTTCATAGTGGAGTTTGTAATTTGAGAATTCAGCCTCAGAAGTTAGTTTGCGGTCATCATTGGTAAAATATACCCTTGTTTTCAGATCTCCAGAGTATAGTGAAACTCCATGGTTTATGACAAATGACTTAGCATGAGTATCTTCACCCAGAATAACATTGATTGTTGAATCTGTTAAAAATAGAAGTTTAGAGAAACTACTAAAAATTTACGTTCTGTTCAAGCATGTATAAAATCTAAAGCACCTTACCTTCTGTTCACTTTTTTCTAGCCTAGCATGAACTCAAAAACGTTATTATATAAACTGCATAAATAAACTTTGAGTTTCTAATGCAATTCAGGACTGTTTGAATACGTTCCTGAGTGGATTAGTTTCTTTAGTAATACAACAGTTATCCATCAAGTTATTAATACCTTGCATAGCATCTGTTACTGATAACTGATGTAGGATTTTGTCCACACAAAAATATTACTGATGCAGTCACTAATGGCTTGTAAGTCTCTTTCACAAAATTTAAACCACGTTAAAATAATCATTTCATTTTGGTGCCATCTTCTGTGGTATAAAGTGTTTTCCGATAATTTCCACTGGCTACATATTTTATCATTCACGATTCGAAAAATGTTATATTCAGATTGAAAGGAATGTAATTTATTGTTATCTATTAATTCGTGTTCTTTCGTACAGTTAAACATAGGCATTCAATTTAAGCCACATATTTACACGCATACAAAATACCATTTGGTGCAAAAGTGAATATTTTCCGTCTTCAGAAAGTTCATACAGATTTAAAGAAAATGGCTAATTTTCTGTTTCTCTTGCAGGAAATAACAGTTACAGTGATGGTTACTGATATATTCCAGGTATAATGGAAGGTAATCTGTCTGAACGTTCTCCGTCCGTTTTCAACAGGAAAACTGCAAATCTGCAGATGTGTTTTTAGAAAAAACCCATTATTTTATCATTCTGATGGATTGTAATCATTATCTGCTAAATAGAATTAACATATCCCGTTTAACTATTGTCAAGTCACAATTTCATGTATTAAGATATATGTGATCTGCTTTAGGATCTAGTCCTATAAATGTAAACTGAAAACAAAACAATCACATTTCCCTCAGACAGACACTAGTTTAATAACAAAGTACATATGTATTTGAACTGGTTACTGACTGAGGTAAATACAACTGGCGTTACATCTTACTGTATGTATACTCATCCACTTGACGTCACAGTAAAGAAGGCCTCAGCCCATAATTTATATCTTCAGATACAAAAGCTTAACTAAGTCAACTGCTTGGTGAGATTAACTTATGTAGTGGTGAATATATCTTAGAGATGGTGAACTGAATAGTAACAATAAATATCCATACGATTAAACCACAGAAAACACCATTGTAGAGTGTTATGAATTTCCATGATGCAGATGAATTTTATAGTCACTCCCGTCTTTAGTTAGCTATTCAGGTATTTTAGCTACCATGAGTGGTGAAACTTTATTTAAAACTTATTAACTTGGAAGCTTCGATAATATTACGTTTTTCTAGTAAGGTTCTAACAATTCAGGCCTCCAACAGGCTTTGATAATTTTCTCAAGAAATATGGAATTCTAATTAAACAAATTTGCTGCGCAATAGTCACAATACTTTCATGAATTGGTTACTTTTTGGTAAGTTGGTGAGTTTTGAGAATTAAGTGTCCACCTGGTGTCAGATTTGCTGCATTCATTGTTGTTCCTAGCTTGACTGATCAGTACCCACCTTTACTTACCTATATAGTTTTATCGTAGATTTGGGAATCTTATTTTCACTAATTCTACCTTATTCACTTATAAATAGTTTTTGAAATCATCTGAAATACACTCACATAATAAATTTATCTAATAACCATTCCAGAAAAATGATTTGATAATTTGATATGAACTTTGGAAAGCAAATTTGTGTTCATATGTTCACTCTTGAGTCGATGGTTCAGGGGCGGAACACTGGTTGGACAAACAAGTAGCCCGGATAACGTTCCCCAGCTGACTTACTCTTAAACCTCGCATGGGCGGTCGTAAGTCGAGTAAAGATGGAAGGTAGGGCATGTTTCTAGAAATCCCACCCCGTAAAAAGGCAACCACTGCCACTGAAACTTCGAAGCTCAGGTTTGAAGACTTCTGTTCAATTGGGAACGCAAAGAAGACATTACGAAGTGGTCACGCTATGTCATGAATTGGTAGAAGTTAGAATTCATGGGCCACTGGATCAAGTCCCATTGGCTTAACGGTCTACGAGGTCGCTTTGTAACCAGAATGTCCTGGGTTCGAACCAATGTGGCGGGTGCTTACCGATGAAGGACGGAATAGCTGTCCAGTACTCCTTGGTTTTCCAACGGTTTTCTAACTGATGTCAGCTCATGATGAAATCCTCCAGCTGATAAAAAAGTGTCCACTCAGATTTGTGATGACAGAATAATTGCTCAATTGAGTTTTTTATATTTTATATTTACATTTTATTATAGCTTGATTCCACAGAGTATTTTGGCACAAGTATGGAATTTTCAGCATATGATATCGGTGGCCCAAATTTAGCAGGCCGACCATAGATATCAGGTGTGTGTCGTCGAGGGATCGAACCTCGGGCCATGTACATGGTTGGCGAGAGTCCTAACCGCTGTGCCACCGACGCACGATATAAACAATTTTTGTAGCTGGTTTACGAATTATGTTATTTCGACTACAATAACGCGGAGTCAAATGAAACTGAAAATAGACTGTTCCAGCAGACTTATATATGCTAGTTATCTGATTCTTCGTAGGCTCGCGTCTTCTCTAAATTGTTCACTATATTTTTGATATGGTGCATTGACGAATTACTCGTGCTTGTTTTACTTTCAGAAAGTGATCTATAGAAAACCTTTTGTAATATTGTGTACTTTTTCTGGGCTTTTTGAAAGGATCCTTTTCCTTGATTTAAATTTAACAACTTATCTGAAATAATCAGTAAAATTATTAAAGGCCTGCAGGATTCAGTTCATTGTAGGCTTTTCAACAAGGCATGTCTTCAACTTCGATTGGACTAAAAGTCAGCATTCCGAACCCAAGAAGACATAGTTCCACAGTCAAGATGTTTAACAAAGCAATAATTGGGTTTACGACTGACATACCGACCGACTGAAGAGGGTAACAACTGACTGACACTGAAAACTAAATAATATGCTGTTGTTTACCTGCCGGCTGCCACTCAGTGTCTCATTTACATTTGCAAAGAAGAAATAGTAACATATATCGTCTCACCTACAATTTCACTTAATTTCTGACTGACATACCATAAGGGGAACATCAATTGCCCATAGCTTTCTAAGATTTCCCACTTTTTTTTTCCTTCACGTTCCCCAGTGGAACATAGGGCTTCAAGCTAGTGGCTTGAAGTTTCTGTAGCAGTGTTTTATTTTTACAGGATGAGGTTGCTAGCCTCATGCCCAACCTTTCCTCTTCACCAGCATTATTTCTGGCTTAGCGAGGTAAAGGAGTGTGTCAGCCGGGGATCGAACCCCGGACCATTTGTATGGTCGGCGAGCATCCTAACCGCTATGCCACCGACGCACACTGGCAGGTACTAATGAATATCAGATCAGATTTAGTAACTCTGTTCTGTAAATTGCACCACCTAAAATCAATCAGCAGTTCATGAAGTTCGTAGGCTTTTTACTTTGATGAATTCAATTTAACGAATTATATTAGTAATCAGAATTACAGCGTATGATATTATTTAATTTCAAGTGATTAGTTCATAGTATTAAGAGCGTTTCAAAACTGCGTAAATACACCTAAAATGGCCTAATAGAACCAGCAGGGTGAAAGAAGGTAGATCATACACTTCACCTTATTTGTTCAGCATACAGTAAAATGAAACACAGAATTTTTCGGTCCTATTTTTATAATAGCACTAATTTATAATATCTGTATTACTGAGTCTTCGTCTTTTCTGATAAAAAAGGTATTAACAAGAGTTTTAAAGTCAGCCATAAATGAATTCACGTTGCTTTTCTCCTAAAAAAGATTTTCATTTAAATGACTACGTAATAAAGCAAGAGGGACAAAGTAAGCTTTTGAACAGGCAAATACGTTCGACATTATCTTTAGCTTGCACACTCAAGGGTAAACTATGAATAAGTAGAGACTTTTTCGAATAGTGAGCCTTATGGTAATTCAAGCCTTTTCTTGGGAAATGTTTGGGCATGAACAGTGTCAAATACCGTAATATTTACCTATTTGTTTGATTTTATTATTTAAATACTTTGAATTACTTGATAGATTCCTGGCCCGATCATATAGACAATTAACTAAACCTACCCTTACGGATTCTAGATGGGACGAATTAAAGTCTAAATATTTATTAGTGTGTTCTGGTTTTCTATAAAGCTAGTTTCCAGCCTATCATCTTGTTTTCGCTTTATTTTACAGTCTAGCCTAGTCAACTCGCCTTTTTCACTTGCTAACTCAAAATTGAATTGGCGTCCGTCTATACACACACACTCATACACACTTAAACTCAATAGTACAACAGTAGTGAAAATGAAAATAACGCAGGTAATATGGAATTCAAAGCCTCTGTAGTATTTTATTTATTGCTGTTAATCTCATTCCTTTGTGTTCCCAGTGAAAAATGTGCATCAGGCTGAAACTATGAAGTTTCAGTAGCAGTGATGTTTATTTTTCTATGGAGTTGGATTGCTGGTATAACTCCCAAACTTTTCTCTTTCCCACAATTACTACTGGTTAAGTGCGTTTTGAGTATGTCTCCTGAAAATAGAATCTCACGCCACGTGCGTGGCTGGCAAGTATTTTATCCCTGAAACACTGACGCGTAAAGCTTCTGCAGTACTACAGTATTAAAGAGGGAACACCAGAGACCCTACTTAAGATTCTGAATAAGGCTGGAATCAGGGTGGTATTTAAACCAGCCAGCTCTCTCAGAGATAAACTTTGTTTGTTTGCTTAAGGACCCAATAGATCCAATTAAGATAAATAACATAATTTAGCAAATACCATGTAATGACTGTGAGGTCGATTACTTAGGTAAAACTAGTAGACCTAGAATAGTTGACCTTACTATATTAAATGTCCTAGAAAAAATCTCAGCCATTGCACTGAATTCTTTTGCATGTAATCACATACAACAGAGTG